GGCGCCCCCAGGTCCTTCAACTTCGACTTCCCCCGGCCCTGTCCAGAGCAGCCGCGGCAACTCAACTACATCCAGGTGGAGCTGGAGGCTGAGCCACGCAAGGGACATCAGAACCCACCGGTCCCCCGTGTCCCACCTCCTGCCACCCATGAAGCCCGACGGACGGACTCCTACGCGGTCATTGACCTAAAAAAGACAGCGGCCATGTCCAGTTTGCAAAGGGCCCTGCCGAGAGATGATGGGACTTCACGGAAAACTCGACATAACAGCACTGACCTGCCTCTGTAAGGGGGAACGCCAAGTGCAAGCACTGTGTCGTGGCTTTGGTACCTGCCCTTCAGTGTATTGCCTGGTGTGACTTCTGTTTGCCATTGCCTTCTGCTTCCCTGTTTACCCCCTTACCTGGGGTCACGGGATGGCTCCTACAGCTGATGTTAAGGCTAGTCTGTCTGTCTGTCCATCTTCCACTCGCCGTCTCTCCTGTGTAGTTTGTTTTTAAAGCCTTGTGGGATATTTGACGATGCAGTTTGAAGGTTAAATTTCTGGTGAGAAGGGCAGAAGGTGCCAGCAATAATACCAGCACTGAGGATTACAGCCTCGAATCGGGTTAGCTGTAGAGATTGCCTGGCGGCTCCATGAGCAGTACCAACAGCCTGGCTGCAGAGGCAGGGCAGTAGCGTGGTGTAGGAGTGTTTCCAAAAGCAAGTTGCTTTAGGAGCTGCACTGCAAATCAAGCCCGTTTCCTGTGGATTTCATGCCTTGCAACTCCAGGCAAGCTCTGCAGCCGGGCCACTCCAAAATCGGGTTTTGTCTTGTGGTTTCGCTGGTCTCTGGTGATGTGGGAGCTCCTGCTGTGGTCTTTCCCCCCTCAACTCGCTCCTTTCTCCCCTCTGCACTGTTGCCTATTTTCTTGAAGCTTGTGGAAGCTTTTTATACTTCTGTCCCTTTTTCAGATTCGATTTAAATTGGGTAGCTCTAGAAATTAATAGAAGAGGACAGACAGCCATGGGCACAGACACTGTGATCACATAAACCTGATTTCCTAAAGAGACCCTGCTTTAAGAGGAGGGGAAGACCGCAACTATGAGAGAGATTTCAGGTTTGGTATAGAGAGCTTCAACTGTACTGTACCCTGTTTTGCTTTTTAAGGGTTCTTTTTGGTGGCTGTTGATTTATTTATTTGTTTACTTATTTATTTATTAAATGTTCTTTTGCATCCCAGTGGTAATTGCCAAAACCGGTGCCAATATGAGACATGTACTCGCCGTGGCTCACTCCTCTCTGGGGGACAGATCTCAGAAGAGGTTGGTGGCTTTGCTGAGCTGCAGTTGGGGGAAAAGAGCAGCTGTGAATCAAAAACGTTTTAACTGGTACTGAGTGTCACAGGGTGGGTGGGAAATGGTACAGGAGACGTGGGAGTGCAAGCAGAGCTGCCAGGCAGCCGAGCTTGGAGTTGTATCAAAGTCGTTGCCTACACCCACATGCCTGGCTGGGTCCATGAGAAATATTTGATCAGTGTTTTGAGTGAATGTGCAGTTTGTTTCCCACAACTACAGACTTGGGAGGGCTAAGTTTCGGCTCTTGGGTAAATTTGTGGCCTTTGACGCAGATTTTTCTCTTGGTACCAGGGCTGAGTCTAAGCTGAGCTGTCAGGCCTCTGTGTGAGGTCCTGCGTAAGGTCTCTGCTCCTCTCCCGTTGCAGAATGTTCCACCACCCCTCTCTGCATGGTGACACGCTGCAGCTTAATCCCTCCCTGGATTACTCTTTGCCATTATAAGCTGTTTCAATGAGACAGAAGTGCTCTGGGTTACTTTGCAGTCTCACTTTTCTGCTCTTTGTATTCTTCATCTTCCTCCCTGGGATAGGAGTTGAGAGATCCAGTGCTCTGCGAGGCAGAAACGTCGCCAAACCTTGCTGTGTTCTCCTTGTCCCTGATATTTTTCCGTTGTCGAAGTCGGTGAGCCTCTGGTGTGAAAGAGGAGAGAAACCGATTGTTCAGCTGCAACCTGCTTCTGTTGTCCAGAAACTTGATTTCCAGTTTTTTGAAGTTCAGCCTTTTTGGTTTTGGTGCTGTAATGTCATATTGAAATGTGACCCTTTTGGGAGCAAGGACATGTGCGCCACAGTTCAGGAAAAGTGATAAAAGTATGAGTAATGCCATGCCTGTGTCGGCAGAACATGGATTTCTTGGCTTGCCGTTGCATTATAATTTCGGAGTGCACCACATGCTTACATTCACTGTTGTTTGGGTTTTTTTTCCTCTGAAAGTCCTTGTGCTTGTCTTCCATTCTTTTCTCCACCCCAACCCTTGTGTGATCTGTAACTGAAAGGAATCCCAAGTAATATATTTTTTTGAGTATACCAAATTACTTTATTTGAAGGAAAAAAAAAAGCAAAACCAACAAGTAATGTATCCCCTTACATCTAGCTTTCATTTAGTGAAGTGAGAGAAGAAATTGGTTTATTTATA